CTCTCTATATATATATATATATATATATATATATATATATATATATATATATATATATATATATATATATAATTAATAATATTTCATAACATTTAATTATTAAGTTATTTTTAATTATTGAGACATTTACCTTAAAGGAAATAAATTAAGTGAGCTACTCGCCCTTACCTTTCGTTCACCCGCTCGTCCGCCAGAGTCACACTTTACGTATACATCACGTGTGGTGCGCGTGTATATATTAGACATACGTCACAGATATGACGCATATGACGCAACAATTGACCTTTTTGATACGTTTTCTTAAAAGCTGTGTTGAAACACGTCTAAGACGTCTGAGAATCGTCCGAAGATTTTTCAAGCAGAATCTTTCAGATATAGTAACGAACAAGCGAGTTAATAAAGGATGAAGGATATTTTCTTCTCCTCGAGACGAAGAGTTGCGTGCAATTAGCAAGGGAAGTGAGTCGAGCAGCGAAATACTCGTGCTTATCTTTCTTAACCCTTTAAGGTCATACATCGATCCCACTCGAGTACAATTTTTGTCTTGGACGAAATAGGCTTGAAAGACATATCCGATGAAAAATTTTACGACTTGAATAAAATTGACCGTCGGGAAGTACAATTTTGGATGTACATAATTATATATATTCATGTTTGCATACGTGTGCTCTACCTACTCTCTAAATTTCTTAGAATAAAACTTTAATTGAAAAGTAGAGTGACAGCTTAATCACTCGAATTAGGATTATTTTTTACTTCTATAGGATGAATTCTTCACTTTGAATTGTTGAGTGAATATTTTCACCTAAAATTGAAGAATAAATCTGATACATTCTGTTGTCAAAGAAATATATACACTTCAATCGATTGAAACATTCATTCATATTACTCTAATCTTGAGTATTATATATCTTGAATAATTAGATTATATCTAATATCTAACTATATCTTGAGTGATACATTCTTTCTTGTGGTTTCGAGTGGCAGCGTTTCCATTATTGCCTTGAGTGGAAATACCACTTTTTATTTCAAGAAATTTAGAGAGAGATCACAATATTTAATAAATTTTGAAACTACATATCAAAGGCTTTCTGTTGGAATACGACCAAGTTAAGAGAATTATAAGACCAGTAAGAACCGTGTGCTGTATGTTAGTACTATAATAATTAAACACTATAGGAGAGTAATATTATTCACCGACGTACGCGGTGAATCAAATCTTCCATGTCGAACTCAACCCCGGATCCTAAATATATTTTAATTAATTCCTCCACTTTTTAAATTTCCAAATATGCATTTACTTTAACTCCTATTAGAGCTGCGCAAAATATTGCCTCAGTTAGGAGCTTAATAAATCTTATAATTATGATAATGAATATAACGTTAACTTTGTACTTTCAGGTGACATTGATAAGAAATTTGAAAAATAAAATCTACTTACGTATCTACTTCTTGTGAAAAATTTTACACAATTTTGAGCGTCAATGATTCTACTCCGCACTCGATCGCTATTTTAATTTTCTTTCTTCAGTGAAAAAATTACTATTTCTTGAGTTACAGATGAAAAGTATTGCTCTAAATAGGATGAATCAATAGTATTATATTAACAGAATCATTATTTTGTCGATATAGAAAATTTAGAAAGGATTCGAATTGAATTTACATAATTATATATACACTGAGCTTTAAAGGATTAACGGAAGATAACTGAAACTTTCCTCCTCTCCTGCGAAATAAAGCGCATTGTGGATTCTATATTGAAAAGTGTAGTATTTGTAACCATAATCACATAAAAAAATAACTAATATAAATTATTGTCAAGACTATATTTTACCATGTGTATTAAACATCATTTTTTACCATTAAAAACCATATTTTATTATTTACATAAATTATTATTTACATTTTTTCATTAAATTCCATTATAATGATAATATTCTTATATGTATGTTACTGCTATGGTTTTCGCGTTGGAACAAGCGAAATTTATTGTTAAGACAAAAAATAACTACACTGTAAAAACTGTGTTAAATTTAATATTTCATATGTCCCAAATCATCTACTCTCATTTATATATAAATTTAACACAAAACAAATGTGGTAAAAAGTAACACACATAATATGTAAAAAATTAACACAAAAATTTAACACTTGCATACCGTCAGGAATCACGGTTTGTGTTAAATTGACATATGTATAATGTTAAATTAACTAAAATAAAACTTTAATATTTGAGAGAAGTATTAATTTATAGTTTAAATGAAATGAAAATGTTAAATAGACATAATTTATGTCAGACATATTAAATATGTCAATTTAACATAATCTGTGATTCCTAACGGTATTCAAGTGTTAAATTCTTGTGTTAATTTTTTCCATATTATGCGTGTTACTTTTTAACACATTTGTTTTGTGTTAAATTTATACATAAATGAGAGTGGATAATTTGGGACACATGAAATGTGTTAAATTTAACACATCAGTTTTTACAGTATACAATTTTAGTTAGACTAATATCATCTTTTTCTCTCAGTGTACGAGAGTGATTTGTATGAGGTTCTTATGGAGGCGAGTTGGTATTCCAGTTTCTTCGATGGAAAATGGTTAAGAAATAGTCCTCTCGCTGCGAAGTCACCATGAAACTGTTTCATGTGAATTTCACGCGAACCTAAAATAAAAGCTTAAAAAAGATAGCGAGCAATTAATTCATTCGGATTCTTCTACGGATAACTGAGAGTTTTTTGTCCAGGAAAATGGCGCAAATGAATGCCGGATCCATACGAGACAGATTGGTCAAGAATCAAGTGTAACGCGAACCTTATGATCGTCTATCTTTCTGAAAGAGAAAAAAGAGAAAAAAAAAAAATAAATACGAAACTACCCTTACAAAAAAGTGTTACTGGTTGGTCAGTGATAAATTACTATTGCTCAGCAGTTTTATTACTAATGGCAAATGATTTTGAGTACTTAAAATGACAGAATTACTAATGTTACAGAGTAATTCAGTGCTAGTAATAATCATTGATATATTATTTTTTTTTATGTAGTACTGGTGTGAATTATTTCCTAGTAATGAGATATATAAGCATCAATTTTCTCATGATTGAATGAAGTGAATTGTTTCATATCTTGTTTCATATATATTTTTTAACCTAACTTATTGTTTATTCTAGTTCGTTATAATGTTTAGTTGACAGTCTAAAGGCAATCATATCGTTAATTATTTGCTGATATACATTAGAACAATATTAGTCGCACTCCGATTATTGTTGCGTCGTTTGTCAATAAATATGTTATTACAATGTTGTTTGAACGATACAAGAGCATATTACAGCATAATTTAGTGAGATATCGTCACAGCTCATCGGCACCATAAATTTCAGTTCGATTAATTCATGTTAAGCAGCGGATAATAGCGTTGGTATGACCGTTAGGTCATAGATGATCGCTTTACAGATCCAAGAGCACGCTGCGGTGCAAAATATGAAATACATTTTCTTTATTATTTAAACAAAATAATCAAGCATTAGATTGTCTGGACCATTCTAATAGGTCAGTTTGTGGAAATTCAAAAAAAATGTATCATACATAG